TTGCTACAAAAGAAAAAAACAGCCAGATGCTGTGGTTGGTACTTGCAGGAGGATTGCTTGAACCCAGGAGCAAGGTTGCAGTGAGCTATGATGATACCACTGCACTCTAGCCCAGGCAACAGAGCAAGAGCTTGCCTAAAAAATAAAAAAAGAAAGAAGGAATTAAAAACAGCTTTTAAAATAATTGTGGAGAGCACCCTGCTGTGCGTGAGCTCTAGCAGGACCATGGAAGAGTCACTATCTTCTCTATGCTTCAGTTCTGCATCTGTAAAATGGGCCCAAGGTCTCTGTATCTTCCTTTGGAGTTGTGGTGAGGGGCAAATGATATAATGCATGCAAGAGAGCCTTATCCTGGGCAAAGAGCTGTGTTAAGGTAAGTGTATGGAGGTTTGGGCATGGGAGCTCAGCTGCCCACACACTGTGATTGAAGATGAGATGTCCTGCAGGTGTACACCAGGAACAGTAAGGAGAAGCAGACCCTTACTGCCAGCCTTTGTGATCAAGAGGTGACAGGTGTCACATTCAGCTTTCCCTCAAACCTGTAAGGTGCCACCGTAAGTTAAACCTGTGGAAAGGGATATCAAGCTAAAGTTTGTAACTTTTAAGGTTTTAATTCAGTACACAGAATGGCAGTTTCATTTGAACCAAACTTTTATTATTTTCTGAGCTTCAAAGTGTGGCCAAGGGGAAGCACAAAAGTCAAGGAGAAATAGGTTTGTGACTTTGACCGAGAGGAATATTCCTCACCTTATTTAGGTCACAAATTCTTTGGAGGATCTGATTTGAAGACAAACAAACAAAAAGCCATGAATGCTTACCTCACAAAAAGGCATCTAGACAGTTTTGCATGTAATTTCTGGGAGTTCATGAACCTCAGATTCAGAATCTCTGATTTGAATAAATGTTCTTAAGATAGTAGAAAGCACTTGGATACTCAAAGAAGGCATAAGAAAGGGAATACTTTAGGAGAAGTCAGTCTTTCTAGTTCAATTAAAAAAAATTCACCTTCCTTCTCAATAAAAGAGGATTGCCAATGCTTTCATCCCAGCATTGCAGAAACTCCTTGGTTCAGGGTGTCCTGGGAGCACATTTCTTTTTGACCCTGAACAGAGGTGGTGAGAGAAGCCCCCTGCCAGATCCCTTCCATTTACTCCCAGTGATGGGCACTGATGTCAAACGGTGACACTGTCCCTTTGGCCTTTGCTGCAGGGAGGAGGTGCCCAGCAGAGCAACAGCAGCCCTTTTGAGTTTCAGAAGCTTAGTTTCTGCAGATCTAGGGGACTGACAACAGAAGAGTGGGGCTTCCTGTGAGGGAGACTGGGGCGCCCCAGTGCACAGAGTCGCACCACTGAGTGGTGAGAGAGGAGTGCTTAGAAGGTGGGGGTCCCCGAGTTAGGAGACTCAAGGCCTAGATTCTTTCCCCACTGGGGTGGGAAAATAAAAACATCAAATGGGTGGAAGGAGCTGAGGACAGAGGCAGATTCGCAGCCTCACGCCCAGGTACAACTACTTTAAGAGTTGGGTCTGAGCTCCCTGTGCCTCAGAGTGATATGACATGGGAGGGGGGCAATATTTTGTGCACACCAAAGAGTAACCCAGAGGTGGTGAAGGTCTCAGGCAGATCTGCAGGATTTCCTGTCCCTGAGGGAAGCCCAGAAGCAGCAAATGATTCTTGAGAACCTGTGAGGATGTAGGAGGAGCTCAGGGCAAGCTGGACCTGCCAGGGCCTTGTGGCTGGGAATGAGGGACACTGCCAACCATGTGGGCCTATGGATGTCCAAAGATCGGAGGGCCCTTGTCAACATATACACCTTTCCCTGCTCACTCTCTGTCTCCCAGCTCAAATGCAACTGAATGAATGTGTATACTGAATGAATGAGGAGAATGGAAACTCCAAACAGAAACAGACATTGAGTTTAGCTTTTTTTTTTTTTTTAAATAAAGCTTCATCCCTTGCCTTCCCAAGATTGTGGCACTCTGATCATGCTACATATTCCTGTTGACCTGTATACGAAGGAAAAATTTTTATTACTTGGTCCCAGGGCATCTTGCTATTCTTTTCTTTGAAAATTGATATAAATTAATCTCAATTATACTTGTTACTGAGTAAGATATCAGCATTTTTGAGACAGAGTCTCTCTCTGTTGCCCTGGCTAGAGTGCAGTGGCATCAGCCTAGCTCACAGCAACCTCAAACTCCTGGGCTCAAGCGATCCTCCTGCCTCAGCCTCCTGAGTAGCTGGGACTACAGGCGTGTGCCACCATGCCCGGCTAATTTTTTCCTCTATATTTTTAGTCGGCCAATTAATTTCTTTCTATTTTTAGGAGGGATGGGGATCTTGCTCTTGCTCAGGCTGGTTTCGAACTCCTAACCTTGAGTGATCCGCCCGCCTCGGCCTTTCAGTGTGCTAGGATTACAGGCGTGAGCCACCACGCCTGGCCCTACTTTTTTCTGTAATACTGAACAACATGGCTTGAGCCACCAGCCCGTCTCAAGTGAGAAATACAGAGTCCCGCCGAACAGCCCTGGACATCCTCAGAGGGCGTGTGTGTCTCTGTGTCACAGCGGCTCAGACTTCTTCCTGCCACTACGTCCTCAGCCTGAGGTCCGTGTCTCCACAGCTGTGTGAGGGCTTCTGCTCCATACCCCAGCACCTCACGTCAGCGGCCACCGCGCCCCCACCCCACAGTACCATAGACACAGGCTGTGTTTGCCACAGATGTTATTGGAGGTTTGGGGAGATGCAACAGGGAGGAGTCACAGCCCAGAAAATAACTTACAACTGAATGTTAGACATTCTCCAAACGTTCCCACCCCAAGGAACTTTCCCTGCCCCCGGCTTTCTCTCTCCCACCTCCTGCCTCCCTCTCCCCGCTGCTCAGCCTCCCTCGGACAGCCCAGTCCTCTTTTTCTCTGCCCTATGCAGGGCCAGGCAGCCCTTTCTTTGTTCAGCTTTCTTCTTTGAGATATAATCCCTGCAGCCTCATTTTTCATATCTAAGTGGGCGATCAGCGACAGCAAAGGTCCTCCTTAAGAGGGCTTCTATCATCAGCATTTGAAATCACAGTTATTTTTCTCAAATACTTCAGTCCTCCAGTGAGAATAAATGGGCACAAGACTTCCCCTGATTTGGGGCAGGGATTCATGACAGTCACAGCTTGTACCCTCTTGCCCCAGCCAGCATGGACTTTTCAGCCACTTCTGCATGGGGTTGTCCATGTGGTCCATTTGGGCCGTTTCTCTCATAGGCTGGGAGGCCAGAGGCCCATCAGGTTTGTAGCAATCCACAATCATCGTTAACACAATCAAAACAAGCGGGCAGCCAGCAGAGTCTGGTGTTTTCACACCTACGAACACAGCCCACGTCCTTCTGCAAAAAGAATGATATTACCTGAGCTCCTCAACTGTGGAAATGAAAAAAAGAACTGTTAAGAGAAGAGAAACTCTAGATAAAAGATGACTGAAAAAGGCAGTCACACAAAGCAGCGCAGCTGCCTAGAATACTAAAAGCAAGAAACAAGTCGGCAATAATTACTAACATAAAAACGTTACCTTTATTCTCGGCTCAGGTTTCACATCTTACATGATGCATTCAAGCAATTTGGCTAGAAGGAATTTACTTAGGCAAAACTGAATATGCTATTACCTGTAAAATCATCTGGTTTAATTTTAAGGATGTTTGTAGTTAAGCGACAAAACAAGGCTGAGGGAATATTGGTACAGTCTTTATTACATTCTGGAACAGCTAGAATGGAATCCACCAGAAGCCACCCATCCCCCACCCTCCCGCCAGGCAGGGTCGCACCTGTGGACAGAGAGCTGGTTGTTGAGAAAGTGTGCAGGCCACCTGCCTCCAATAACTCCTTCCGCAGCAGCCAACAGGACCTGCAGTGGTCACCACGGGATCAATTCTCCTCAACCAGAATGAACTGAGCCCGCACAGTGTCTTCAGCATGCACAGACCCTTTCAGGAATATGAATGACCTAGAGACATAGTTCCTGCACCAAGACGATTCACCACTTACTTCCTTTGGGAGTTGACTCCTCTGAAGTAAGACATTTGCCCTAATGGCCTATTTTACAAAGTATGCATACAAACATCCATTTCCATCTTTTGAATGCTTGGCATGATTGGTTTATTAAATCAGATGGCTGAAAAGAGTTTAGTGTTTTGAGGGCAAGTTTTTTGATGTAGAGATGGGGGAGGAGGAAAGTTCTACTCAAACACAGGTGCTTAAAATGGCCTTTCAGAGAAGGCACATCTCTACAATGAAGTACTGTGCAGCTGTAGAACAGAGTCATTCTCAATGTATGGTAGGGAAAGATCTGCAGGATATATTGTTGAGTTAAAAAAAATAGCAGCGAGTTTATACAGTACACAAATATATATGTATATAATTTTATTTGCATGAAGATACACTGGAATAATATACCAAAAACTAATAAAAATGAAAACTCATGGGAGGTTGAGTAGGGTATGATGGGGTGGGGAGAGGAACAGGTGGGGATCAGATTAGAAGAGAGATTTCTTTTTTTTTTTTGAGACAGTGTCTCACTCTGTTGCCCAGGCTAGAGTGCTGTGGCGTCAGCCTAGCTCACAGCAACTTCAAACTCCTGGGCTCAAGCCATCCTTCTGCCTCAGCCTCCCGAGTAGCTGGGATGACAGGCATGTGCCGTCATGCCCGGCTAATTTTTTTCTATATATTTTTAGTTGGCCAATAATTTTCTTTCTATTTTTAGTAGAGACGGGGTCTCGCTCTTGCTCAGGCTGGTCTCGAACTCTTGACCTTGAGCCATCTTCCCGCCTCGGCCTCCCAGAGAGCTTGGATTACAGGCATGAGCCACCTTGCCCGGCCAAGAGATTTCTAATGTCTTTCATTTTATATTGTTTTGGTTTTTAGCTACTCAAATACATAAATAATTTAAATTAAGCAAAATAATTAATAAATAACGTATTCCCCTTCTCCATTTACTAAATTCAGTGTTTTTTATCCTTCAAGGTGCACGTAAGTCGCCACATTGATTTATTCATCAGTATGCATGGAAAGCCACCGCAAGCTTGGTGCCGTGCCAGGTGCCTGGCAGGCCCTGGGGATGCCCGGTGAGCCGGGCACACACACCTCTGCCTTCAGGACGATGACAGCTTGTCTAGGAGCTGGCCACCAGGCAGACAATTTGCTGTGGAAGGGGAAGACTCCGAGAGGTTGCTTAGACCTTTACCTTGTCCTCCCCTATCCCATGACACTGTCCTCTGGGCTCCCAAACACCATGGTGCCCTCCTCCTCTGGGATCACCGTGTGTTTCTCACTACTGTCTCTCCCGGCCTGGGAGTTTCTGCGAGGTGGGACCCCTCACATTCACAACTCCAGGCCTCGCAGCCCAGTTCTTGACACCCAGTGGGCAACCAACAAATGCCGTTTGAATGAACGCGCGGATGAGACGCTTCCCAGGGTGGTCGGCTGGGGGAGATGGGGGTGCAGGGGGAAGGAAGAGCGCTCCTGGTGATGGAAAGTGACCCCTGGAGCAGGGAGGGAGTATCAAAGTTGTAGGTTTGTTTCCTCTCAATTAGGTCGTATTAGTCAGGGTTCTCCAGATAGACAGAATCAATAGGATGTATATAGATACGTGAGAGGGGATTTGTTAGGGGATTGGCTCATGATCATGGAAGCTGAGAAGTCCCACAACAGGCCGTCTGCAAGCTGGAGATGCTGGGATTCTGTCGGCCTGGCTCAGACCAAGTCCAAAGGCCTCAGAAACAGGGAGGCCAGTGGTAGAAGCTTCAGGTCGGAGGTCCAAGGGGGCTGAGAATCTGGGGGCTGCCGGTGTAAGTCCTGGAGTCCTAAGGGCGGGGAGCCTGGAGTTGTGCTGGTACAGGAGAAGAAGAATGTATCCCAGCTCCAGCGTATAGGCACATTCACCTTTTCTCCATTTTTGATTTCTCCAGATTCCCTAGCACAGCAGTCTCCAATTTTTTTGGCACCAGGGGCTGTTTTTATGGAAGACAATTTTTCCATGGACTGGACGGGGGGATGGTTTCGGGATGACTCAAGTGCATTACATTTATTGTGTGCTTTTATTTCTATTATTATTGCACTGTAATATACAATGAACTAATTGTACAACTCACCATAGGTTGGGGACCCCCTGCCCTAGCAGATTGGCTGGTGCCTGCCCCCATGGAGGGCCAATCTTCCCCACCTAGTCCACGCAGACTCATATGCCAATATCCTCTTGAAACGTCTTCATAGACACACCCAAAATAATACTTTACTAGGTTTGTGGGTATTCCTAAATCTAGTCAACACCTAAAGTTAACCATCACATAGGTCTAAACAATCTCGTCAATCTCTGCTCAAGAGCTGGGTCCCTTCATGAAACCCACGTGGACACATCAGCCCAGAAGTGATCAGCCTCTCAACATAGAATACCAGGCATACAGGGCCCCTCAACATAGAATACCAGGCATACAGGGCCCCTCAACATAGAATACCAGGCATACAGGGCCCCTCCATAGACAACCAGGCCTATCAGGCCCCTCAACATAGAATACCAGGCATACAGGGCCCAGGCAGAACTAACTACCCACGAACCTCCCAACTCCGCCAGCTCTCCTAGATCGCCACTGCTCACTGCCTAGGGACACTGAGGTCATTAAATGTAGTAAATACAAAGGAGGTGGAGTTCATGTTGCGCGTTGAAATACCAAGAAATTGAGATTCAGACCAGGAGACAGCACTATTATTTGTCTTAGAGATTTACCTGCTGCACTCTGCCTGAACAGATTCTTAACTTGATCAATTTCAAACCTAAGCCCCCGTTTTTCAAATGTGGCAACTTAAATCATTTACTGAAAAGAAAAACATTTTTTTAAGCTTTGTGTCTTTCTTAGTTATGGATCGCCTTCTGGGGTCAATTTTGAAAGCAATTTATGACGATTCGGCCTCTGGACTCCTGTTCACAGCCGCTTGTGTCAGGTGGATAATTCTCCTGGCTTGGTCATCAAAGCAAGCCCTACACCGACAAGGTGGTTCCTGCGCTGTAAGCATTTATTTATGGGATTTTGCCTGTCATGCCAATGAGGACGGTCTCCCCTCTAGCTTTTAATTACTGCACGCCCAGAGATGAATGAAAGTCCTTGGGGAGCAGACACAAAGGACCAGGGTCATGAAGGGAAGGTTGCCTGAGCTGTCAGCTTCATCTTCGGACCTGATAAGCTGCAGGCCAAGTTAAAAAGAAAATCACTGAGCTTGGTCAGCAGCTGGGGGCGGGGTGAGGGGTTGGAACCAGCATCAGCATTAAGCTAATGAGACAGAAACAAATTAAAACCATTTTCAGGATCAACAGCTGTCCTTGAGCCTCTTGCTTATAACTGGCTTTATGTTTTCCCCGGACTACTGCAGGTGCAGATCTGGGAGCAGAGAGAAAATGAGCTCTGGCTGGGACAGGGTGCCCTGACAGGGCGGGTTGCCCCGGAAGCTGCCTCTCTGTTCTCCAATTCTGCATGAGAGCAGGGGAACATGCACAGAGTTGAGACAACAAGACTTGATTCAAAATAGAAAAGAAGAAGTCAGGAAACTGGGAAACCAAAGCTGCATATAGACAGAAAACTAAGACAAGGTAACAAATAAAAGTGATATAATAGAAATAAAATAAGCAAAATAAAGGGTGAGAAAAAGGCAGAAAATGAAATGCATAGGAGGTTTAGAATGGATAAGATGCAGAGTTGGACAAAAGAGGAGATATTGCAAACAAAATGAGATGAAGAATTTATATATATGTGTGATCTATATTCTTCATAATAGAAAAAAAAAGATTATAGCCCTCTTGAATAGTTGCAATGTATATTAGCATATTAAAAGCTCTAAAATGTCCCCCACCCAAAGAAAAATAATTCTGCAGCTTCTTGGACCATAAAACTTACCTCCTCCCTTTTTTCCATATAATAACCTAGAATCTAGTTCCATGGAGCACATGCCAGGGAAAAGCTGCAGTGTATTTCAAATCTTCATAACTGACTTGAAAAGGGTTTGAGTTTCTTATGTGGTTAGGCCAATATATAAGAATGGGCCACTTTACCAGTGGTCAAGATTGGTCTATTTCCTGGCACCTATATTTCAACCTACTTTGTTGCTCTCTATGTATTGTGGTAAGGGAAAATAATACCTTGCAGTAACATTTTATGCATTTGGGAGTTTTTGAAAATCTTCAGGGAACATGATTTGAGAATATCAGGGTCTACTTATGTGGGTCTTGAGTTCAGGAGATAGGTCTGGGCTGAAGGTATGGATTTGAAAATCATAAGATTGATAAATGAAAAATGATCAGGAAGAGAAATCAAACATCTGGTTCATGGAAGCTATAGAGTTAATATAGAGCAAGAAAAAGAAATTGATGTCTCTTTTCATTGTCTGATTTCTGTATTTACTATCTGAATTTTCTCATGCACTTTTAAATTCACAGGTTTCTCCCATTCCTTTGAAAATAGAAAACAACACAAATTAATTTACATTGAAAATCAAAAGCCAAAAGAAATGGGAAAAGCAAATTAAATTTTCAGTAAAAGAAGTGAGACTGATTGATTTTGTAAAAAGCATTAGAAAGGAGAAAAAATGAACATTTATTAACATTTATTAAGCTATCATATTGCTTTAGTGTATACCAACCAAAGAGTGCTGGTCTCTTTAGAGCAGTCTTCTTAGGACGCTGTAGCTTTATTCCAATCATGTTGTCAGTGCTCAAATATTTTTTGGTGGTCCAATTTTGGACTTTCCTTCATATGCATCATTTTGATATATTTTTCTGGTGGTTCATTGTCAACATTTGATGATAGACATGAAATTTTATAGATATTCAATAGTAATTTAAAGAATATATTTTGGTATATATGTTGATTATCAAATGGGCAAACATTATTTGGAGACAAAAATTAGGTGGGAACATAACGGTTTGAAAGTGATTGTGAATATGGCTTGTAAAGATCTCTGGCAACATTTTCATATGAGGGCTTCCAAATATTTTGAGCAGTATTTGTGAATGAGGGTTTAGCCTTAGCTTTTCAGTAATTATCTTGAAACATAACACTTCTTTGGATAAGTAAATTTCAACCCAGTTTTTTAAAAAGAGTAACTTATACTTTATAATTATGCTCCAGATGGGGTGAATGAAAAGCTAAGAGAATGAATAATAGAGTGCCAAATGTAGAGGTAGAAGAAATTTAGGCCCAAGATTAGGGGAAGAGAAAGAGTAAAATGAGAACACAGCAAAAAGCACATGAGGATTAATTGTAGGGATAAGAAAATGGGAGGAAGGTGATATAGAATGAATGAGGTAATGAGTAAAATGAGATGAAGCATGGACAAGACATGAGGAAATATAACAAATGAGTGGGGAATAAAGAACTGAATGAGAGGAAAAATTACACAGTCAATTAGAGATGTTCATTTTATGGGCAAGGAAATGAGAAAATGGAAAGGAATATTAATAAAATTAATCATGGCAACCAAAGCTGTGGGAAAATGGATAATGAATGAATAAGTAAGCAGAAAGAATGGATGAGGGAATGAGAAAAATGAAAAAAAAAAAAAAAGAAGGCAGCTCCAAATGATTGAGTGATTGAAGCCATGAAAATGGAGGTAGAGAAACAACAGACAGCCTAAAGATGAAAATAAAACTAAATTAAAGCTTTAAGAAACATCCAATGAGAAATTAGCAGAATGGGAAAAAAGAGATCTGTTGTGAAGAAATGAAAAGAAGGAATAAATACTTTCCACACCAATCAAAACATTGTGTAAAGTTCTTAAGTTTTCTTGTGGAGCTGTCTGCTGCTCCTCCCTCCAGCCAAATGGCAGGGTGGACCTGGGGAAGAGAAGAGCCAGGAATTGTGGAGGCAGAGAGGAACAGCAGCCAGAGAAAGACAAAAATTATGGAATGGCAGAGATGCAGCCAATGATAATCTTCACTTAAAGGTCCTTCAATAAAGATAAAAACTCTAAGCCTTTATACATCACTATGCCATTTTCTTGTGTCTGAACTACTTTAAAATCAACATAATTTCTTCCCTTATTTATCATTAAAGGAATTAAATAAGAGAAAGGAGTCTTGTTGTTATCATTAGGAGATCAGAAAATAAAATAATTATACTGTGATCGATTTCTAAATTTCCCCCCAAACCTTTTTAGTTTGGTATGTGGCCAGCCATCCAACTAAAGACTACATTTCCCAGCCTCCTTTGCCACGAGGTGTGGCCATGTGACTATTTGGACCAATAGGCTGTGAGCAGAATGGAAGTACTCTACTACTGGGTCTTGACCTTAAAAAATACTGGCTATGCATTTCCACTTTGTTTCCTCATTCCTGCTGCCTGGGAGATGGTAAAGGTGGAAGCAATAGGCACTTCAATCCAGCAATGGAAGCTACATGTTGGGGGGCTGGCAGACAGAGCAGAGCCTAGCCAAGCAGAGCATTCCTAACAGATCTGCACCACATATATTTGAATCTTCATGTGAGAGTGAAATTCTCTTTTAAGTGACTATATTTTGATGTTTCGTTTTTCTAACAGCTTAGCCAGTACTCTAATATATCAAATTATCTTGGTATTTAAAGATACTGCTGACTGCCTATTATCATAGTGTAACAGAGTAGTCACCCCTCCTCCCACAGACATGTGTGAACTAAAATAAAATCTTAAGGCTCCCTGGCCCCATCCTGCCACTGGCTGACTGAATGGGCTCCCTCCTGGCCAAGGGGATATCCTGAAACTAAATTGCCTGCCAAGAGGAGGGAGATCAGATATGTCTTATCATGCCCCCTCCTTTCTTGGAGATATCCTTTGTAACCCATTAACAGGCCTACAACTATGCAAGACAAACCTGCAGGTCCTCAATTTACACAACAAATATATGTCTCTGGCTTGTCTCTGATTAACAGACCTTCTTATCTTAAAACACTCCAAGCCTTTAGACAAAGCTTCATGTCTTTAACCAATTACGAATCAAAGACTCTTTAAACCCACCTATAACCTGTAAGGTGCCTCCCCCACCCTGACCTTTTCAGGCCAAACCAATGTATGCCTTCTATGTACTGATTTATGACTTTACCTGTAACCCCTGTCTCCCTGAAATGTATAAAACCAAACTGTAACCCAGCCACAGCGAGTCCACTTGCTCAAGGCATCTTGGGAGTGGCTCCAGGCCATGGTCTTCAAATTTGTCTCAGAATAAACCTCCTTAAAATTATTTTACAGAGTTTGGCTTCTCTTCCATTGACATATGGAAGGGAAATATTGAAAGTGGGGAATATGTAACAGAGGGAATGACCTGGAAAAAAACAGCAAAAATATTTTCTGTCTCTTTAAAACATCCTTCACTCCTTTTCAAGAACTAAAGCCTGCATCCCTGTCTCAGGCCAGTGATTGTAAGGGACAGGGTAAGTCTTTTGTTTATTTGTGCAACAGGAGATGGCCCAGTCTGGACCTGGTAAAGGGAGGTCCTGAGCAGAGGTCACCAGATTGTCTTCATCAGAGATGGGATGATGAGAATCAATTGCAGTTGAACAGTAATTGCGTGAAGCTGAGAACCCATCCTTTAAAAGCTCTGTATTTCTGTGAATTTTCAGGAAAATTTGTATTATAAGATGAGAAGATCTACCATTTTTTCTCCTTTGCCAGCAAAGTAATAAAACTTCTCTTTCCTCCTCCCTAGACCACTTCTAGTTCTTCTAATTGGGCCTCGTAAACAAGTGCGGAGTGTTTGGTAATAATAGTGTGTGCGCGCGTGTACGTGCATGTGTGTGTGTGTGTGTGTGTGTGTGTGTGTGTGTGTGTGTTTATACTGTAAGGCTGGTGGCGGGGGGGCCCCCCTCCACTCCCTAGATTAAAAAGAAAAGGCTCATGAGACCAGACCCACCAAGGACAACTGACAGGCCCAGCTGAAAACAACAACACCTGGATATCCACTCAGATAAAGTTTTCGGTTCCTGGATTCTGCAAATACCACCAGCCCCACCTATTTCTCAATAACCACCAAAGGTCACAGTGGAAAAGCCACCGCTTTTCCCACCAAAAGTCCCTAGTCTGCCCCAAACAATATAAAGACCCATACCCCCTCCAAATAGATGTGACTTGTCGCCGCCCCCCCCCTTCCGGGACCTGCGAACCTCGCCCGGGAGTGATCAATAAAGCCATATTGTTTGGCCCCACTCTCTCTGTCTGCTTCTTTCACCGCTGGAAAACCTTACATATACAGTATATAGATCTGTGGTGGATGGATATGTAGTATTATTTCAATGAAGGGATGAACATTATGCAAGATAGAGATAGATATAGAGCATATATAACATAGCATATTATGTATATTGCAGATGTAGGGATGCATTTATTCATATTCTTGTAAGGTCTTCCTCATGGCCATTAACACATGTTTAAGCTTTTAAGTAATTTTATCACTTTCTGTTTTTCAGAAAGACTGTTCCAGATTAAGAGTAAGACTCATGTCTGCAAAACAGCACCCTGAGGCTATGTTCTCTAATCTTTGGGAGAATTTACCATCAACTGTGAAGTAACTTGGTGGGGAGCCATATTTAAGAGTTAAGAGCAAAGATTCAGAACCAAACTGCCACAGTTCTCATCTCAGGCCCACCACCCACTAGCTGTGTGACGGAGGAAAAGTTACTTACCTGAGTTTCAGGTGCATCATCTGTAGAAGGGCGATGGTGACAGTGCCCACCTCCCAGGTGTGGTGTGGTGGGGATCGTCTCAGGTACTATATCATAAGCATTTAGCATAGTGCCTAGAACATAATAAATGTACAAGAGGAGCTTGCTATGATTTCTTTTGTTGTTGCTGTTATTGTTATTATTATTATTAATATTTTGCCATTTCCAGAGCTATCTGTAAAGCAGCCTGGGTGAGTAATATCCCCATTTGACAGATGAAGAAACTGACTATGGAAACCCACACAGGCTTCTTAGAAGAGGATCCAAGATCTGCAATTTCCACAGATGGATAATTTCACTTTTTGGTAGTTGATTTTTTTCCCCCAAGTTTTATATTAGACAGTATCTGTGAATCACCTAAATGAAGAACTTACTGTAACCCCTAAAATGGTAACTATAAGCCTCATTATCAATAAGTCTTTCTTAAGAGCCTGGAACATAAATACGATTAAATTAGCTCAAATAAAGTGAGAGAGAGAGGTAATGTAACTTTCCCAAGGGCACACAATTAGCATGTGAAGCTGAGGTGAGAACTTTGG